CGCCCTTCTTTTTTGTCGAACCTTTTCCCGTCCGACTGTTTTGTACTACAAAGATCAGTCGCCTGTATATAGGCTTCCGCTTCAATCAAGGCCTCTTGAAGAGTCGCCACCCTCTTTCGGACCAAATCAAATTTGAATGTCGATCCGTCTTTGAGGCCTCTGAAAAAGTCAGTATAGGCTACCTCATCCGGTAACCCTTGAATCTGTATTCTCATCAGGTTAAACCGCCTGATGTAAGAACGAAGCCCCTCCTTCTCGCCCTGCTGAATCGTTCCTAAATCAAGGGTCGTCTTCTTCGCGGGTATGTTCATGGCAAAGTTGGAGGTGAATAAGTAAGCAAGCGTCCTGAAGTTATTTACACAACCAGTCGGCAGGTTGCCGAACCATTGTTGTGCGATTCCTTTGAGAGTCGCTGGGAAACACTTGCACCAAGTGGGATCATCCAACCCTTGAAGGTACATCAGGTTGGTGAATGCCATCAAATGGTCTTCTGGGTTAGTAGTGCCGTCATAGGCGCCTACTAATACATTTTTCACTTTGGCCGGCTGAGCGGCTTCAGCAATTTCCTTGGAGAAGGTCGACGGTTGTTCCCCAAGTCTAAGCAACCGTAGCTGCCAATCCATAGGTTGGACATTTTTTGCTGCATGCCCACCAAACAGAGGTGGCTGCAAAAAATATTGTTGTTGCGGTACAAATGGTAAGTTTGGTACCGCCTGGTCGCTATGAAATTCGGACTGACGGGAGGTGCCGCCTGACTGACTCTCATGATACGACTGAGTATACTTCATCGAGGTATTGTGTAGACTGTCTTGGAAGTTTGAAGTAGAGGCCGACTCTGACAATCGGTCATTCTTCTTCTGTTCTAGCAATAACCGAGCATCTGTGTATGTTATCTTCGACCCGTCCGCCTGAATATGACGAACATGTTTCCTCTTTCCTGGAGTAGGAAAACGGTATTTTGTGAAATCAAGGGCAGGCGGCTCCCACTTCCTAGAGTTAGGATGAGGGGTCGTCTCTCGCCCTTGAACTGGCTTCCTCTTCCTTGAAGTGGAAGGTTTTTTAGCCGATTGTTCCTTGGCCAGAGCAGGCTTCTTGTTGAGCAACTCTTGAATCTCTCCCTTGAAGCCCCTCATGAAGGTCATGAGTTCGTTCCTTGTAATGGGAGCAGACCCATCAGTCGGCTGCTGCTGAACAGGCGGTGCGCCTGCTGGATCACTGAGTCCAGTTTGAAGATGTTCCCGTTCCCTCCTTTCGGTAAGACGGGTGCGTCGGGCCCTTAGGGTCCCGTCTGAAGCTGTGTGAGCTTCAATTTCAAATTCTTCCTCAGTATCATGGTCCGCCTGAACTTGAGGGTCGTCCAGGGGACGCCTTTCTTCAGGAGTCGGTACAGACGTGGATGCCATCTCAGAAGTACTCTCCCCACAGACGGCGCCAAAATGTTTCGGGGTTTTCTGATGTCCTGCGGGAGAGTTACAATTCCGAAACTGGAACCGGACGCCTGTACCTGCAAAACAAACGGATGCTCCGGATGATTGGAGATCCGCCTCCGACGGTCAAGTTAGTACTTGCTTAAGGAGTAGTTAATGCGGAAATTAAAGTGATTGGGTCTCTCTAGGTGAGAGTGTTTAATGTGCGTAATCTCCCTTAATGAGGATTAAGGGAGGTATTTATAACCTTGGGAAACGTGCTAATCCTAGGTTTAGGTTAACCTAGGGCTGATTGGGCTTCCCTTGGAAGTTGGGCCTCGGTGGCCGATTTCCCCATTAGGCATGGAGGATGCCACGTGTCGTGACATAATAGGTCCAAGGTGGACGAATAAGCGTGTACCACGTGGCAAGCCCTGACAGTTCCAAATGGGGGACACTTGGCAGGACCTGATTGGCCCACGTGGCGCATTCCGATTGGTGGGAGCAAAATCCCCTAATCAATATCTAACCAAAAGTTAGATGACAAACAATTTATTATTATATTGCATGATAATTTGGGACATCCAACAACTGAGATAATGCAAAGAATTATAGCAAATTCAGTTGGACATTCAATAAGAAATGTCAAAATTCCTCGACCAGCTGAATTAACATGTTCAGCATGTACACTTGGCAAATTGTTAATGAGGGCATCTATGTTTTTCAAGGTTTTAGGGGCCATTTTAGCTCTTAAGAGTCCGAATTGAGCTCAGGATTGTCAAAAAAATTAACGTAAGTGTCTTGTTTTTACAAAAAAAAAAAAAAAAAAAAAAAAAAAAAAAAAAAAAAAAACTGCCCACAAATCGATACATTTTTGTTACGCAAAAAGAGGCACTTTCGTTGTTTTTTTGCCAATTCCGAGCTCAATTCGGATTATTAAGTGATAAAATGGCCCCTAAAACCTTAAACGAGCATTTTTAACACGCAAATTGATGAAAAAATTGAATGCTGCAATTTACAATTTATAGCAACTTTTGGTTTACAATTTGCAAATTTATTTTTTTTAAATAGTTGCAATTTGCAAAATACAAGTTTGTTTTAAAGGACTACAATTTTAAATTTTCCTTAATTTGTGCTGAATTTGGGTTGTGATAATGGATTGTTTCACTTTGGGTTGATCCTTATGAGTGTTACGTACAAACCTACAATATCAAATATGGTGATGATCAAATCTCATTCAATTGCTCTTTGGGTTCTCGATACACCAAAACTTTTAACCGTTAGTATTATATTGAATGTAAACATTAGATGCACTTCCTAAAATAGTATAAATTTAGGAATTCGTGACAAAACACTCGCGAATCAATGTTTGTAATCTATGTTTATTTTTAAGGCAAAAATTAACGAACATTGCGGAGGCGTTGGATAAAATAATTAAAAGTAGAAATATTAACGTTAAATAAATGATAATTACAACGATCGACGCGTGATTTTGCCATGTATTCCCAAATTAATACTTCTACTATATTAGGAAATATTTTAAAGGGTTATCGAATGCCCTGGAGGTGTTTGTTAACAATATCCTACTTTTAAATATCTTAACAATTTTTTTTTCGGAGAAAAGTAAATATCTTTACATTTTTAGCATTAATCTATTGATTTACACATGTTCTTATAACAGTACACTATAAGCATTATTTATTTTAATTTATACGTGTTTTTTGTCATGAATTCCTACAACTTTTTAAATCCCTCATTTTGCAAAATAAACCTTTTAAACGATATTTTGTTAAAAATAACCACCACGATCAATTTTTTTTTGTCTACAGAAACCTCCCCCTCTTTTCCGACATTGACTATAAATTTTCGGCGTTGACCTCTTAGTTTCCTTATTTGCACCCTACATTTTGATGATTTTCCCTCCTTTTTTTTGGTAGCCTAATTTTCCCTCTATATAATCTACAGCAAGCCTCCCCAAATCAATTCACAAAAGATTTAGGGAAAACTTAACCAAATCAAAGCAATTGAAAGGTAATTTAGGGTTCTTCATGTAATTCTTCCACAATTGCAGTGGTGATTTCACCATTCTAGGGTTCACTCTACGGTTCTTCTCTCCTCTGTAATTTTTCTCTTACTATGAGTTCTTTTTTCTACCATTAAACCTGACAGCAACCAAAACAAAATCGAAGACATTCAACATATCCGGGCAACATTTGAACAATTATAGTCAACAAATTTATCAATCCATCAAAGTTTGTGGGTTTGGCCTCAACATCACAGTACAAATTCTCCAACAAGCAGCAACAATTAGGTAAATTAGGTTTTTTTTTTTCTCTAATTTATTAGTTAAACCCTAACTTTTACGCAATTCATGCATGCAAATGAGTGCTAAATTGAAGAACATACCTTGGTTTGTACTTAACAAAGTAATTAGGAAACCTTGATTTGTGTCCAAATGACCTCTTTCTTCCTCCTTTATCCATTGAAAGCAGGAAATACGTGAGTTCCAAGCTTGAGTAAAAAAAAGCCCCAATTTTTATTCTATTTCAAGTAATTAGATGATGATTTTAATCTTACCTTAAGTTATTGTTCACGAATTAATGGCGAGTAGTAGAGGAGGGAGAGAAACCCAAATTAATTTGATGGATTTGCAGAGCATTTATGGAAGAAAAAAGAGAGAATACAAGGGAATTGGAGGGAATACAAGGGAATTGGAGGGAAAACAAGAGGGGAGAATAAGAGGGGAAAATCAAAGGGAGAGTGCAAATATAAAAATGCTTGGGAACAACTCGGGAAAATAAGAGGTCAATGCCGGGAAGTTGTAGTCAATGTCGGAAAAGAGGGGGGTTTCTTTTGACATAAAAATTGATCGTGGTGGTTTTTTTTAACAAAAAAAATCGTTTAAAAGGTTTTTTCTTGCAAAATGAGGCATTTAAATGGTTTTTTTAACAAATTTGCCAAAAGTATTTAAGGCTTATATACATATAGTAGCATTATCCAATTTTAAAAATAGGAAATTTTAACAATTACCACCTTCTGTTATGTCCATTTTAGCAATTACTACCTTCTATTTTTTTAAAAAAAATTACCACCTTTTATATTCAAAAAATCAAAAGTTACCACCTTCTTGCCTCCCAACTACCACATAACGTCATTTTGTGCCCATTCTTTCCATTCCCTCCCTATTTCCTTCACATTTCTCATTCCTATTTGGATTATCATCTCCCCTTTCACTTTTTTTCCCCCAAACCACCAATAATTGTTCGTCAATTTTGATTTGGAGGAGTGAATTGAAGTGTTTTTGATTGTTTGAGGGAAAAAAAGTGAAAGGGGGATAAGAATCGAGTTAGGAATGAGAAATGTGAGGGAAATAGGGAGGAAAGGGAAAGAATGAGCTCAAAATGACGTCATGTGGTAGTTGGGAGGCAAGAAGGTGGTAATTTTTTATGTTTTTAAAAATAGAAGGTGGTAATTTTCAAAAAAATAAAAAAAAAAGTAGATAGTAATTGCTAAAATGACCATTACTGAAGGTGGTAATTGTCAAAACTTCCTTAAAAATACTCAGTGTCAATGAATTCACCCTTGGAAAGCAGGTTGTTAATCTACTACAATATCATCATTGCATTTATGTTCAGACTTCAAAGGGACGTCAAAATAACAAATTTCTTATGTCCTCCCACGATAAATTAAAGTAAAATTCAATTTATTCTCCAAAAAACATCATCTAAAAATATCTAAAAAGAAAAGAACAGTAGAACACCTTCTATCCTAAAATTGATACATGTTGACATATATACAACTTGAACATCACAATCAAGATGACAAATAACCAAAATTGCACCTTCCAATCCAAATTTCTGTAATTTCAGATCATGAAAAGAAGACAATGATACAGCGACAATAATTCGAGTGTGTTGTACTGGCAGTGAGCCCCTCTTATTTTTTAAGGGGTGTCAACAACGACAAGAAGATGAAGATGTTACAGAGGTCATGAATTAACAGGAGGAACTCTGTAATATGCAGGAACTATGGCAGGGAAAAACATTTTTCTCACCCCTTCTGCCTTGATAATTGGAAATATGATTCCAGATGCACCCTGTAAAAGAGAAAAAATCAGATCAAGAACATTCATCAAGTATAATTAAAACAGGATTCACTCAATGGAGCACATAAATCCTCTTTCAGGAAACAAACAGAATGAAAGTAAAGTTGGACATACAGAAATCAATCTGGCTCCAATCCATAAGCGTTTAGGAGAGGGAAAAGGCAGTAGTAGGCGACCAACTCCATAAATGGCAACAGCAAAGAAATGAAGAACCAAACTCAATGGCTTAGGATTCAGCCCAGACAGAAGAGAGATGGGTCCATTTGAAAAGACACCTCCAAGACTTAGATAATCAAAGCATGCTTGGCGCATCTCCTTTCTAGCTTGATCTGGGGAGGCACGGAAAACCTTGTATAAAGCACCTGCTAATGTGTTGATAGTAGACGCCACTGGCTGTAAATCAAAAAAAATAATTGAGTCAGTTCTAAACGGTACACATAAATCTCTATATGCAACCTGGTGAGCCAAATCAGTGAACCCTTGCAGAGACATGGGTATTCAAGTGCATGAATGTCATAGCTAAAACACTTCCTTTTTTGTTTTTTTTTTTTTAATGAATGAATCATAGCTAAAATAATTAAAACACTAATATCTCCAAGTACCTAGTAACAGCCAAAATAAACAAGAAAATTCAATCTTCACCCTTCAAAGTATGATTCGTCAAATCATTAAATGAACTTTCTTTAATAACTAAAAAACAGTTAATATTGGTGTAACCACTAAAACACTCAAAAGAGATAAAATAATTACTTTACGCAGAGTATAGAAGGATTCCAGGTATCGGCAGAGACTAGTTGCATCATTCAAGTCCTTCAGCGGCCTCAAAAGATCTCGCAGCAGTACAATATCAGCCAGAGCTACAGTCATTCCTCCACCTGTTAAAGGATGGCGCATGTTGAATGCATCTCCCATTAGTAATGCCCCGGGCTTAGGAAGAGGAGCTGCTGGCATGCTTTTATTTGGCATTGATTTAATGCTTCCTTTATCAATGGCTGTGAAAAAGGCATCATACAACTGTGGAGGTATCTGAAATGACAGATCAGTTAATTAATAACTTTAAAAGTACAAGTAAAAAACACAGCTTTTGTAAGTACTCCCAGGAGCACTAATAATACAAGTGACAATAAACAAAGCTTTTTAGGGATCTACATACTTGGGGAGCAACTACAGTCTTCAAATACTTAGCCAGTTCACCACTAGCAACAGAAGGAACTTTTTCTCCTGGTACATCAACAAGACACCGGACTTCTGTACTACTAATCGGATAGAACAAGATTGGGGATGGATCTCCTAAAACAACATGTCCATGATTTTCATAAGGAAGTTGACAGTTCTCCAGAACGAGCCCCACAAAACATGAAGGCTGGTCTATCTGCCAGAAACAAAGCTTTATGAATTAGTTCAAAGCTTTTTGAAAGATATACATAAATACACTGCAAGTAAGCAACAGGATTTGAGAAATAGAATATGTACAGTTTTTCACAGAAAATCACCTTAGGTTTGCAGAGTGAGCGACGCAAATTTGAGAAACAACCATCACACACAATGGTCAGGGGTGCATATGCACATAGCTCCTGTCCAGCTTTGGTCTTGTACCTCACACCCTTAATTATCCCATTTTCTTCAACAAGGGAGGTAACTGCGCCCTGCTCTAATTGCACACTGGAGAAAAGAAAGTTCAATGAGTCCCTAGTAAAATCTATTCTATACACAATGGCTCTCAAACCGAAATACACAATGAAAAAGGCAAAATTCAAACTTCATCATCTTAGCAGGTAATACTTTCAAAGTAATTGCTATATCTTACATTTATTTATATTTTTTTCTATTATTCTAAATAAAATCCTCAATATTGAATAAAAAAAAAGTGTAAAAATGAATTATATGTACTATGAAGTAATTATGTACCATACTAGGTCTATGTTACTCGAATACTCTCTTTTGATTCTCAACACTAAGACATTGGTAAGACATTTTCACCCATTTGGACAAAAATCACGATTTATTTGTCACAAAATAACTATGTTGGACAATTGGACATGTAAGCCTCCATGTTGGACACTCTTTCCTAAGAAATTAATTGATAAGATATGGTAGATACCTTTTCCTAAGAGATCAATTGATAAGACATATCCAGTGTCAAACTAGCAAGAGATAAGGGGGGACAACCCAAAAAAAAAAAAAAGAAGTACAAATACATAATCTTGTGAATATTGATTTATATCAAATGAAATGGTGCAGTGGCTAAAGCCTTGCTTGTAAAGGATGTAGATGTGGGTTCAAACCCCTATGGCTTCATTCAAGCCCCTACTTTTGAATAAGTGCAAAATGATTACTACGTATAAAATTAAACTTGCAACATTTTACTTTTAATTGAGTATAACTTTCAATTGTTGCCTTCTTGGTGAGTGAGGTGAGTTTTGTAATCAAGAGACTAGAGTTCAATCATTGATGCAAACATTTTACTTTTTTATTTACTATTATTATATATTATTTTAATATATAAGATAGTATTCTTTCCATTTTTTTTCTTAACAGTTACTCAAGATCTTCTGGAATCGAGAGGAAAGCTCTAACCACTTGAGCTATCCCTCACCCTTTGGTTAAGAACTAGATAACTATTACAAAATGTTGATCGACTTTAGAAGACACACAAATATCTAGAAGTAAATAGACAATAAACCACTATACTATGATGTTATTAATGAAGAAATTGTACGGATAGGTTATACACTAAAGTTAGCTTTGTTTCTGGAGAGGATATGGTAAAATTATTTAAAGTAAAATTTTGTAGTCCAAAACAAAATTCAGATTCAGGGAAAATCATATACCAAATTCACTCAATAAATATTCATTTATTCACTTTGAACATTTGTTCCCTGATATTCCACTGCCAATGTTACATAATCAATTTTGTTTAAGTGATGTACTCTGTAATTTTTATATTTACATGTTTCCTGAGATGAGCATATTTTTGTGAAATGGTCTATAATTAAGCCAAAGTTAACAGTTCATAATTTCATAAGATATATTGTGGAAAATACTTTTTATCACACTAAGTATGTATATAGTACAATAGTGACTCATAAGTACAATACAAGATAATATTACATATATAATTTGAGACAAAATAATGATCAAATTACCGAGTAATCCAACTGAAGTATTCCAAGTAGTATCCAATTATAACTTAAAATAAATAAATAGATAAATTCATGCATAACAGCTTGTTGAAACTCAAATTTCATCTCACAGAGACTCGAGAAGAGAAAAAAAATCACATTTCAAGCCTAAACATCAAGTTGTTTAGGACAACGCTTTAAAATGTCATTCAAAAACCTCAAAATTTTCCCAGAACTGCATTCAAGTTTAAAATCCCAATCTGATAATAAGATGAGAACTACACAAGTGGAACATAACAATGACAAAATTGATCAAAATCATAAATTTTGAACCAAAGACAAACAAAAACAGGTTTGATATAATGTATCAACAAAAAATAGAAACAAAATCATCCAAAAGACAAGAACATCATAACATACTTGGGCAAGGAAGCAGCTTTCTCCCTCATCCTCTGAATAAAACGGCCATTATGAAACCCTCTCCCAGAAACATCGTGATGAAATTTCTCCAAAGGATAAGAAAGTTTAGTATTTTTCCCATCTTTGAAGAGAGCATAACCAAATACGCGTTGAGCATCAATGTTTTCTACACAATCTGTTATCACACCAATAAAATGGAAATAATCACAATCAACATTAATCCATGGTAATTGTTACTAAACATTGTTCTAAAGTCGTTTCCAAGAAATTCGGAAAAATTAGAGATATATAATAGCTTGATAGGAGTAGTTATTTACCTACAAGTCCCAAGTCAATTAACTTGAGATATCCTCCTGGTTGTAAAAGCTCGCCAACAATACGATCAGGCTCTGCTAAGTCTCTCTCTATAACGTGAACTCGTCTACCATCCTACAAAAAAATTTCAAGTTTCTAATTCAGCAATTAAGATAACAACAAGCCATACTCCACAAATCACGACAAATAAAGTAAAAACACTGCAAACAAATTTTTGAATACTCCCTCCATCTCTAAAAATTCTACCTATTTTGACTTTTTGACAAATCAACCAGCAAATAGAATAAAAACACTTGCAAACAAATCATTGAAATCCTGATAATCAATTATATACTCCCTCGTCTCTAAAAATTCTTCGTATTTTGACTTTTATTTTTCTCAAATTAACCAAGTAAGCTTGCAAACTAATGAATGAAATCCTGTTAATCGATTATATATCACTCCGTCTCTAAAAATTCATGTTTTGAACCTTTTTTTTTTTGTTAAACAATTTGAAAAGGAAGAACTTTTAGAAATGGAAAGAATACAAAACAGTTGTTTAGTAAATCCGAAATTAAATAGTTAAGTACTACGAATAATCCTTTGAATTAACGAATTTTTAAATTAGCATATCAATTTAGAACTAAAATTATAAACACAGGTCAACGAAAAAAAAAAAAAAAACAACAACAAACGAAATTCAAAAATCATAAGACCTTTCCAAGAGTATGAGCAAGAGCAGCACCAGCGACACCAGCACCAACAATAATGACGTCAGAACTAGTCACATCGGATCTACATTCACCGGCGAAAACAGCGGTGGTAGTTACGCCGGGAACACCATTTTCCGACGAACATTTATTCTCTCTCCTCTTACTCGATCGAATATTCCAGACAAACGTCACGGTCAACAATAAAGCGATCACCCCTCCAACTCCAATAATGTACTGATCGAGCAACATTCTCGAAGATTAACGAAGTAAGAAAAAAAAAGGTTGCAATTGCTTCGTTGATTCACCTCGAAAATCGTTCGCCGCCGTCGACGGCGGCCGGAGTTCTGTCTCTCAAATGATCAGAATTTGGAGGCGTGTTTGGAATAAAATTAAATTTGATGAATGTATTTGTTTAAATGTTTATGAACAGATCAGAGATGGCATCGTTATATAAAGGTTACAGCTCAGCAGAGTTCCAGTCTGCCAGAGTATCTTGCGATTATTTTTTATTATTTATTTGATTTGAATACAAAATTTTTTTTGACAAAATTGAATACAAAATTAAAATATTTAGATAATGGAAATGCAACTGAAAATTTAAAAGGAGGGAACAGGACGTAAATGTCTACGTTACTTGGGCCTATGGCCTACAGCCTACTTACTAACTTACGACTTACCTAATTGTTTGATGCCTCACAAGTCACGGCCACGGGGCTAACCAGTTAAACAACTGGTACGGTATGTTTTTGTTAATGTTTGTACGGTAGTATTAAGGGTAATGTCTTTAACGGTGAGACTTAAGTTTTAGTATTGAAATACAAAAAGAGTTGGTTTCTACGTCCAATGGTAATACCGTAATATCATACTCACTTCTTAATTTAACAACTCATGTGAAGTCTAATTTTTCAATGGTGAGACTCTCTTAAAATAATACAATTATCACTTTTAATTTATGGCTTACCAAATCCATTTCTTTTTGGAAAATTTGCAAATTGCAGCCATTTAAAGTTCGTATTTTGCAAATTGCAGCCATTTAAAAGTTTTTTTTTACAAATTGCAGCCCAAAAGTTCGTATTAATTGTAAATTGCAGCTCGATTCAATTTTTTCATCGGTTTACATGTTGAAAAATCTTCGGTTAAGGTTTTAGGGGTCATTTTAGGTCTTAGGGGTCCGAATTGAGCTCGGAATTAGCAAAAAAATAATGTAAGTATCTCGTTTTGCGTAACAAAAATGTATCGATTTGTGGGAAACTGTAAATATGAGACACTTACGTTATTTTTTTGCTAATTCCGAGCTCAATTCGGGCCCCTAAGAAATAAAATGACCCCTGAAACCTTAACTGAAGATTTTTCAACATGTAAACCGATAAAAAAATTGAATTGGGCTGCAATTTACAATTTATACAAACTTTTGGGCTGCAATTTGCAAAAAAAAATTTAAATGGCTGCAATTTGCAAAATACGAACTTTAAATTGCTGCAATTTGCAAATTTTCCTTTCTTTTTTAATATCAAATATTATAAAAAAAAAAAAAGTAAAACTTAAGTAAATTACAAAATATATTAGAAATATTGACAAAGGCCCACACTTTTTGTCAAATGAGACTCAAAGTTGAGTACTCCCTCCGTGTTTTTAATAAGTGTTACACTTTTTTTTTGGCAAAAAACTACACTAAAATATTATATCTCTCTTCTCTTATGCTCCCCACCCAAACTCAATACTACTTATTTTATTATATTTTTCCTCTTACATTCATTATTTAGCAACTTTCTATTGGAGCTGCTAAGTTTAGATACCAACTTAATGGTATACATTGCAAAAAATACTCTCTATTCTCTCCTAAAAATACTCACTTGAGTCTCACTATTGGAAGGGTTTTATACTTTTTCCGTTTTTAAATACTTGCTTCATTTCTCCATGCGCAGAGTTTTAGGAAAAATTTTGAAAGGTAATAAAATAAAAAGGTAGTGAGGTTAGTGAAAGGTAAAATAAAGGAAAGAGAATCTAAAAGTAATAAAATTAGGTCCCACTAGGTGAGAGAAATAAATTAAATATTATAAATTATTTCCAAATAAAAAAAATGGAGCAAGTATTTATAAACGACCACAAAAGAAAAGTGAAGTATTTGAAAACGGAGGGAGTATACTTATATGTAGTCTTTACAGGTACAAATAAACATTAAACATCTTTATTAATTGGTTGTAGTTTAGAGATGTATGACAAAATTACATACAAATCACTGTATTTAATGAAAATAATTAATTTTATTTCCTCTTTTAGCTTCTTATACATAGCGATTAGGGTTATATACAACATTTTCCAAGTATTAATCCACATATTAGTGCTCAAATCCAATGGCAATGTTTAAGGGAAAAGAAAAGGAGTAATGGGCTAAGTTTATTGTTAAAATAAAGTTGGTGGGATAATAATTTAATGATAATAAATAACACATTGGTAAATTAGTGGATAATTTAAAATAGTTGTTGGAAGCTGGTTTAGAAACTTTTAAATTTGATTTTGGCAGTCATGGTGAGCGCAGTTATCAATGCTCTTTTCATATAGAGGTGTGTCTAAATCATTTTCCTTAAAACATTGTGTCATGAAGAGCATATTCCATATGGAAAATTGTGGAACGGAGATATTAAGTTTACTAAAGGATAATAATATGGTTACCTTTATACCTGTCAAGTTAGGTTAAAGATCAACATATTCAAAAATTTATTATGAGCTAGCTGTAATAATTTTTACATGGTGTAGTTTTGTGATTAGAGCAATTTTATCAATTAATAATTTTTAATTATTAAAAAAATGGAATCTAATAATCCCACCTTTAGTCGATGTTTCATAAACAATCTCACCTTATGAAATTCCAGAAACAATCCCACTTTTGACTCCCATCTTTCATTAACAATCCCTGACCGATTGGATTGTTTTGATAATCTATTTTCAATCTTAGGTCATAAAACACATATTGGATTTTAATAGGTTTATATTAATTTTTAATAATAAAAAAACAAAACTAATTAAAAAAGGAAAAAAAAAAAAAAAAAAAAAAAAAACAGCCCTAGCTCGGCCATCGCATCCCTTCCCCATCCCTGCCACCGCCACCGCATCCTCTCCCCATCCCCGCCCTTGCTTTACTCGATAACCCAACCTACCCTTCCAAGGCGCCTGAACCTAACCCCTAAAACCTGAATATCATCACCCGCAACCACTATAGCAGCCGCTTAGCTTCCCCAAAAATCCAACTTAAACCACAACCCATATCGCGCTCTTATTCTTCGCACGCTAGCACCAGAACCCCTCTTTCTCCTTCTCCTTTTCTTTCTCTCTTCTCTTCGATATATTTCTCTCTCCTCTTAGTTCATCAATTTCCCTTTCGATTCGATTTTTTAGATGATTGAAATCTTAATTTATGTTTAATTTCAAACCAAAAATCGAATTGAGAGACGATTGGTGCTACCGAGGTTGAGTATTCAAGGTTGAGTTTTCAGGATGGGTGGCGTTTTTCGAGGCTGTGGGTGGAATTTTTTCGGGCTTGAGGTGGAGTATTTCGGCTAAGGTTGAGTTTCAGGATTAGCGAGGCGGGGGTTGGGTTTTGGGGATGGTTATAGGATTTTCTAGTGTGGTGGCTTGGTGGGTGGGTGTGGCGGTAAGGGGTGAGTGTTGGGGGTGGCCATGGATGGTTATAGGATTTTTCAGCGTGGTGGCTTGTTTTCAGGCTAAGTTTGTTGTTAAAGTAAAGTTGGTGGGATAATATCTTAAAGATAATAAATGACACAAAGGTAAATTATTGGTTTTTAGTGGATTATTTAAAATAGTTGCTAGAAACTAGTTTAGAAACATTCAAATTTGATTTTGACACACTCATTGTGAGAGTGCAGTTATCAATGCTTTTGTCATATAGAGGTGTGTCTAAAGCATTTTCCTTAAAACATTGTGCCATGAAAAGCTAACATATCCCATATGGAAATTTAAATTGTGGAACGGAGATATTAAGTTTTCTAAAGAATAATAATATGGTTACCTTTATACTTACAATGAAGCGCATTAAAAATAATTTTTATATGGTGTAATTTTGTGATTAGAGCAATTTTTATCAATAAACAATTTTTAATTATTTTATTAAATGTTAACGGTACACTTGATGTGCAATACATATTTGGGAGTATATTTTAAGTTTATTTACCAAGTCAAAACATTGTGTTTGGCAAGTTAGTGGTGGAGGGGAGTTTTTAGCTTTGAAATTTAGTGTTTAGTTAATATAGTTGATGAATTATTAATATTTTTCAAAAGCTACTATATATTAATTTATTTTATCATATCATTATATAAAGGGATTGTTCTCTCCCCTAGTCTTATAAAAATAAGTTTCAGGCCCAATAAATTTTGATAAATTCAGATCAGTTCAATTCAGATAAGTTACAATAAGATCTAATAAGTTAAATAAAGTCTAATGAGTTTCTATAATAAGGTCTTTTAATAAGTTCTAATCAAGTCTAATGATAAGGTCCAATAAGTTATTTCAATTAAGGCTAATAAGTTTTAATAAGGTCCAATAAGTGTAATAAGGTCTAATATGTTTGTTTAAGGAAAAATGGAAACTAATAATCCCACATTTTTCTTTTTATGCTGAAAACAATCCCACCTTTTCGAAATCTAGAAACAATCCAATCTTTAACCCCCATATTCTCAAAACAGGTCTTATAGTCCTTTGTAAATTGATAACTTGTGTTTATAAGGTGACTTTCCACATGTCAACTTCTGATTGGTCCAATTTTAATTTTTTTAATTAAAAAATAAAACAAAAATAATATTCCCTTCCTAGCTCCCCACCACTGCATATCAGACACCACCTGATCACCATCCCCTCCCCTTTCCTCACCTCCCTTTCTCGGTTTCACTTCCATTGCTATCCCAGTTTCGGCCTCCCTATTCACCGCAGCCTTCTTCACCTCCTCCTTCATTGTTGGCTTCTCCTCCATTGAGGTTTCATTAGGGTGTTTTGGGTTTGAGTTCCCATTTCAATTAGGTTTTGCAGATTTTCTTGGTTAGGTTATATAGAAACCCATTTGTGTCTCCCCAAAACCAAACCCAGTGATGAGTACCTTTCACGTGGAATCATAATCGAATGAGGTGAAAGTGCGGAAAGTCTGGTGTTGAGGATAGTTTTTATTTCTTTTCTTTTCTCTCTGTTTTTGAGAACCTATTTTAAGAAAACAGCCAATCTAGTTTGTTTTGGTCCATGGAAAGGGTCCACTAATAGTGTAGTAGGTTTGGGTTCGAAAAGACCTTTCCAACGATATATTATAAGCCCAATTCCGATGAATAATGAGGAAGTTATTGCCAAATTACTAAACTGTGCCCGGTTTGATCTTTATGTGCGGACCAATGATCTAGAGGAGGGCCTAATATTGATTTATCATTCCTAATGTGATTAGAATTTATTATAGTCTTCTAGATTCTTCTAGAAGGTTCTTTTCATTCCTAATTTAATTAGCATTGATAAATTGA